CTAATCCGTGGACGAACCTGAAGCCGGGGGTGAACCTTAATCCGGGGGCGAACCTGAAGCCGGGGGCGAACCTTAAGCCGGGGGCGAACCTTAATCCGGAGGCGAACCTTAATCCGGGGGCGAACCTTAAACCGGGGGCGAACCTTAATCCGGGGGCGAACCTTAAGCTGAGGGCGAACCTTAAGCCGGGGGCGAACCTTAAGCCGGGGGAGAACCTTAAGCCGGGGGCGAACCTTAATCCGGGGGCGAACCTTAATCCGGGGGCGAACCTTAAGCCGGGGGCGAACCTTAAGCCGGGGGCGAACCTTAAGCCGGGGGCGAACCTTAATTCGGGGGCGAACCTTAAGCCGTGGACGAACCTTAATCCGGGGGCGAACCTTAAGCCGGGGGCGAACCTTAATCCGCGGGCGAACCTTAATCCGGGGGCGAACCTTAGACCGGGGGCGAACCTTAATCCGGGGGCGAACCTTAATCCGGGGGCGAACCTTAAGCCGGGGGCGAACCTTAAGCCGGGGGCGAACCTTAATCCGGGGGCGAACCTTAATCCGGGGGCGAACCTTAAGCCGGGGGCGAACCTTATGCCGGGGGCGAACCTTAATCCGGGGGCGAACCTTAATCCGGGGGCGAACCTTAATCCGGGGGCGAACCTTAATCCGGGGGCGAACCTTAATCCGGGGGCGAACCTTAATCCGGGGGCGAACCTTAATCCGGGGGCGAACCTTAATCCGGGGGCGAACCTTAAGCCGGGGGCGAACCTTAAGCCGGGGGAGAACCTTAAGCCGGGGGCGAACCTTAATCCGGGGGCGAACCTTAAGCCGGGGGCGAACCTTAAGCCGTGGACGAACTTTGATCCGGGGGCGAACCTTAAGCCGGGGGCGAACCTTAATCCGGGGGCGAACCTTAATCCGGGGGCGAACCTTAATCCGGGGGCGAACATTAATCCGGGGGCGAACCTTAAGCCGGGGGCGAACCTTAATCCGGGGACGAACCTTAATCCAGGGGCAAACCTTAAGCCGGGGACGAACCTTAATCCGGGGACGAACCTTAATCCGGGGGCGAACCTTAGACCGGGGGCGAACATTAATCCGGGGGCGATCCTTCACCCGGGGGCGAACCTTAATCCGGGGGCGAACATTAATCCGGGGGCGAACCTTAAGCCGGGGGCGAACCTTAATCCAGGGGCGAACCTTAATCCGGGGGCGAACCTTAATCCGGGGGCGAACCTTAATCCGGGGGCGAACCTTAATCCGGGGGCGAACCTTAATCCGGGGGCGAACCTTAATCCGGGGGCGAACCTTAATCCGGGGGCGAACCTTAAGCCGGGGGCGAACCTTAAGCCGGGGGAGAACCTTAAGCCGGGGGCGAACCTTAATCCGGGGGCGAACCTTAAGCCGGGGGCGAACCTTAAGCCGTGGACGAACTTTGATCCGGGGGCGAACCTTAAGCCGGGGGCGAACCTTAATCCGGGGGCGAACCTTAATCCGGGGGCGAACCTTAATCCGCGGGCGAACATTAATCCGGGGGCGAACCTTAAGCCGGGGGCGAACCTTAATCCGGGGACGAACCTTAATCCAGGGGCAAACCTTAAGCCGGGGACGAACCTTAATCCGGGGACGAACCTTAATCCGGGGGCGAACCTTAGACCGGGGGCGAACATTAATCCGGGGGCGATCCTTCAGCCGGGGGCGAACCTTAATCCGGGGGCGAACATTAATCCGGGGGCGAACCTTAAGCCGGGGGCGAACCTTAATCCAGGGGCGAACCTTAATCCGGGGGCGAACCTTAATCCGGGGGCGAACCTTAATCCGGGGGCGAACCTTAATCCGGGGGCGAACCTTAATCCGGGGGCGAACCTTAATCCGGGGGCGAACCTTAATCCGGGGGCGAACCTTAATCCGGGGGCGAACCTTAAGCCGGGGGCGAACCTTAAGCCGTGGACGAACTTTGATCCCGGGGCGAACCTTAAGCCGGGGGCGAACCTTAATCCGGGGGCGAACCTTAATCCGGGGGCGAACCTTAATCCGGGGGCGAACATTAATCCGGGGGCGAACCTTAAGCCGGGGGCGAACCTTAATCCGGGGACGAACCTTAATCCAGGGGCAAACCTTAAGCTGGGGACGAACCTTAATCCGGGGACGAACCTTATTCCGGGGGCGAACCTTAGACCGGGGGCGAACATTAATCCGGGGGCGATCCTTCAGCCGGGGGCGAACCTTAATCGGGGGGCGAACCTTAAGCCGGGGGCGAACCTTAATCCGGGGGCGAACCTTAATCCGGGGGCGAACCTTAATCCGGGGGCGAACATTAATCCGGGGGCGAACCTTAAGCCGGGGGCGAACCTTAATCCGGGGACGAACCTTAATCCAGGGGCAAACCTTAAGCCGGGGACGAACCTTAATCCGGGGACGAACCTTAATCCGGGGGCGAACCTTAGACCGGGGGCGAACATTAATCCGGGGGCGATCCTTCACCCGGGGGCGAACCTTAATCCGGGGGCGAACATTAATCCGGGGGCGAACCTTAAGCCGGGGGCGAACCTTAATCCAGGGGCGAACCTTAATCCGGGGGCGAACCTTAATCCGGGGGCGAACCTTAATCCGGGGGCGAACCTTAATCCGGGGGCGAACCTTAATCCGGGGGCGAACCTTAATCCGGGGGCGAACCTTAATCCGGGGGCGAACCTTAAGCCGGGGGCGAACCTTAAGCCGGGGGAGAACCTTAAGCCGGGGGCGAACCTTAATCCGGGGGCGAACCTTAAGCCGGGGGCGAACCTTAAGCCGTGGACGAACTTTGATCCGGGGGCGAACCTTAAGCCGGGGGCGAACCTTAATCCGGGGGCGAACCTTAATCCGGGGGCGAACCTTAATCCGCGGGCGAACATTAATCCGGGGGCGAACCTTAAGCCGGGGGCGAACCTTAATCCGGGGACGAACCTTAATCCAGGGGCAAACCTTAAGCCGGGGACGAACCTTAATCCGGGGACGAACCTTAATCCGGGGGCGAACCTTAGACCGGGGGCGAACATTAATCCGGGGGCGATCCTTCAGCCGGGGGCGAACCTTAATCCGGGGGCGAACATTAATCCGGGGGCGAACCTTAAGCCGGGGGCGAACCTTAATCCAGGGGCGAACCTTAATCCGGGGGCGAACCTTAATCCGGGGGCGAACCTTAATCCGGGGGCGAACCTTAATCCGGGGGCGAACCTTAATCCGGGGGCGAACCTTAATCCGGGGGCGAACCTTAATCCGGGGGCGAACCTTAATCCGGGGGCGAACCTTAAGCCGGGGGCGAACCTTAAGCCGTGGACGAACTTTGATCCCGGGGCGAACCTTAAGCCGGGGGCGAACCTTAATCCGGGGGCGAACCTTAATCCGGGGGCGAACCTTAATCCGGGGGCGAACATTAATCCGGGGGCGAACCTTAAGCCGGGGGCGAACCTTAATCCGGGGACGAACCTTAATCCAGGGGCAAACCTTAAGCTGGGGACGAACCTTAATCCGGGGACGAACCTTATTCCGGGGGCGAACCTTAGACCGGGGGCGAACATTAATCCGGGGGCGATCCTTCAGCCGGGGGCGAACCTTAATCCGGGGGCGAACCTTAAGCCGGGGGCGAACCTTAATCCAGGGGCGAACCTTAATCCGGGGGCGAACCTTAATCCGGGGGCGAACCTTAATCCGGGGGCGAACCTTAAGCCGGGGGCGAACCTTAATCCGGGGGCGAACCTTAATCCGGGGGCGAACCTTAAGCCGGGGGCGAACCTTAAGCCGTGGACGAACTTTGATCCGGGGGCGAACCTTAAGCCGGGGGCGAACCTTAATCCGGGGGCGAACCTTAATCCGGGGGCGAACCTTAATCCGGGGGCGAACATTAATCCGGGGGCGAACCTTAAGCCGGGGGCGAACCTTAATCCGGGGACGAACCTTAATCCAGGGGCAAACCTTAAGCCGGGGACGAACCTTAATCCGGGGACGAACCTTAATCCGGGGGCGAACCTTAGACCGGGGGCGAACATTAATCCGGGGGCGATCCTTCAGCCGGGGGCGAACCTTAATCCGGGGGCGAACCTTAAGCCGGGGGCGAACCTTAATCCAGGGGCGAACCTTAATCCGGGGGCGAACCTTAATCCGGGGGCGAACCTTAATCCGGGGGCGAACCTTAAGCCGGGGGCGAACCTTAATCCGGGGGCGAACCTTAATCCGGGGGCGAACCTTAAGCCGGGGGCGAACCTTAAGCCGTGGACGAACTTTGATCCGGGGGCGAACCTTAAGCCGGGGGCGAACCTTAATCCGGGGGCGAACCTTAATCCGGGGGCGAACCTTAATCCGGGGGCGAACATTAATCCGGGGGCGAACCTTAAGCCGGGGGCGAACCTTAATCCGGGGACGAACCTTAATCCAGGGGCAAACCTTAAGCTGGGGACGAACCTTAATCCGGGGACGAACCTTATTCCGGGGGCGAACCTTAGACCGGGGGCGAACATTATTCCGGGGGCGATCCTTCAGCCGGGGGCGAACCTTAATCCGGGGGCGAACATTAATCCGGGGGCGAACCTTAAGCCGGGGGCGAACCTTAATCCAGGGGCGAACCTTAATCCGGGGGCGAACCTTAATCCGGGGGCGAACCTTAATCCGGGGGCGAACCTTAAGCCGGGGGCGAACCTTAATCCGGGGGCGAACCTTAATCCAGGGGCGAACCTTAAGCTGAGGGCGAACCTTAAGCCGGGGGAGAACCTCAAGCCGGGGGTGAACCTTAAGCCGGGGGCGAACCTTAATCCGGGGGCGAACCTTAAGCCGGGGGCGAACCTTAAGCCGGGGGCGAACCTTAATCCGGGGGCGAACCTTAATCCGGGGGCGAACCTTCATCCCGGGGTGAACCTTAATCCGGCGTTGGGCTTGGGCGTTGAGCTTGGGCTTTGGGCTTGAGCGTTGGGCTTGGGCGTTGGGCTTGGGAACACTGGATTCTCACCTGAGTGTGGTGTCAAATGCACTGCAACAACCTCACCTGGGGAAGAGGATGACAGTGTCATAAGGGTTGTATGAAGGCACGAAGCCATACTCCGCCACCATGTCAATGGTGGGCTTGGGTCCGTATGATATGCTCAGCGGCTCTCCTTTCTCGATGGCCTGGTAGGTCGTGAAGAGGAAGTGGTCGCCTGAGAGCTGGAGCGGAGGGAAAAGGGGGGTGATGGGGCGGGGGAGGGGGCAGGAGGAGAGGGCGAGGAAGGGCTGGGACAATGCCTCAGGAGCTCGCATGGCCTGGTAGGTCGTGAAGAAGAAGTGGTCACCTGACAGCTGGCGGGAAGAAGGGAAGGGGGCGTGGAGGGGGGGTAGGGAAGTTAGACAAGGGGGGGGTGGGGCGGGGATGGGACATACGATCATCTCAGCGGCTCTCCTTGCCCGATGGTCTGGTAGATGGTGAAGGGGAAGGAGTTTCCAAAGAGCTGGAGGAGGGCGAGATGGGAGGGGAGAGAACAGAGAAGAGAGATAAGGCAGCTCCTCCCACCCCTCACCTTCCACCCCTCACATCCCCATGTTGGGGTGGTGATCATTCATAGTTAGCCAGATCAGGCTCATACCCAGGCGTTTTGAGGGTGAGCGGGACATATGGCAACTTCTTTCACCCCTCACCTCCCACCCCTCACCTCCCACCCCTCACCTCCCACCCCTCACCTCCCACCCCTCACCTTCCACCCCATGTTGGGGTAGTAATCATGGTTGAACAGATCAGCGAATGGGAGCATGGCTGCTGACGTGGCATACCAATCCTCCGCTCTCCTGCCACTGCCACCACTGTTGCTGCTGCTGCTAGTACTCCCCTCCTCTGACTCCCCTCCTGCCTCTTCTGTTGCTACTGCTTCCACTACATTTGCTGCTACTTCTGCCCCATCTGCACTCCCATCCCTGCCCCCTTCCGCCCCTTCCGCACCCTCCGCCTGCTGCTCCTCCCCACCCCCACGGGCGCGCATTGAAGGCGAGAAGGTGAAGCAGCGCGATGTGACTATAGTGAGCGCCCAGTAGAACTCGGAGCGAGTGGCGTTGGCGATGGCAGCGGGATTGCTGCTGTTGCATCTGTCGTACAGATCGGCATATGCCACCTTGAGCCGCGTGGCCTGTGGTGGAGTGCGGGGGGGAGATGGGGAGCAGAGGGAAAAAAGGAGGGAATAGGCATGGACGATGGTGGTGGGGTTGCTGTTGCAGCGATCGTACAGGTCCGCATATGCTGCCTTGAGACGCGTGGCCTGTGGTGTGGGGGGAGGGGGGGGGGGGGGGGGGGTGAGGGGAGTGGTGGGAATCAAGTGAGTGAACAGGCATGGGCAACGGCAGCACGGGATGGCAGCGGGGTTGCCGCTGCAGCAATGGTATAGGTCAGCGTGTGCTGCCTTGAGACGCATGGCCTGTGGTAAGGGTGGGCGGAGGAGGGGAGAGAAGGAGGGGAAGGGGGGAGACATGGGAGATGCGAAACGGAGAGGAGAGGTAGCGAGCAACGACACTCAGGCAAGCACGGAGTGTGTGAAAAGAGTATGTGAAGGGGAGTGTGAAAAGGGGAGTGTGAAAAGGGGAGTGTGAAAAGGGGAGTGTGAAAAGGGGAGTGTGAAAAGGGGAGTGTGAAAAGGGGAGTGTGAAAAGGGGAGTGTGAAAAGGGGAGTGTGAAAAGGGGAGTGTGAAAAGGGGAGTGTGAAAAGGGGAGTGTGAAAAGGGGAGTGTGAAAAGGGGAGTGTGAAAAGGGGAGTGTGAAAAGGGGAGTGTGAAAAGGGGAGTGTGAAAAGGGGAGTGTGAAAAGGGGATTGTGAAAAGGGGATTGTGAAAAGGGGAGTGTGAAAAGGGGAGTGTGAAAAGGGGAGTGTGAAAAGGGGAGTGTGAAAAGGGGAGTGTGAAAAGGGGAGTGTGAAAAGGGGAGTGTGAAAAGGGGAGTGTGAAAAGGGGAGTGTGAAAAGGGGAGTGTGAAAAGGGGAGTGTGAAAAGGGGAGTGTGAAAAGGGGAGTGTGAAAAGGGGATAGTGAAAAGGGAGTGTGAAAAGGGGAGTGTGAAAAGGGGATTACGAGTGAAGCAGAGTATGCAGAGCAAACCATGTCTTCTATTTCCCAGACTTCCCCTAACACTCACTCCATAACTCACCCACCTGGTCAACGATCGGCCAGTACTCAAACTGGTCGATGAGCTGTTGGGGGAAGAGAGCAGGCAGGGGCACGTAGGCGGGCAGCGAGCGCAGGAAGAGCGCCCAGGGGGACGCAGCGCCCTTGGCCCTCTCGTGCAGCAGCCAGGCGGCCAGCACAGTGTATGTGTCCCACCCATATGGCACCGGTAGTGTCATGTCATATGGGAGCAGATGGCGCTCTGACTCGTTCTGCACACAGTAACGGGAGGAAGGAAGGAGGCGTGCTAGGGATGAATGGTTGGGTGTTCTGCCTCCCTCTCTCGCAGCAGCCAGGCTGCCAGCACGGTGTATGTGTCCCACCCGTACGGCACTGGTAGCTGCATGTCATATGGGAGGAGATGGCGCTCTGAATCTTTCTGTTAAGGGGGTTGGGAGATGGATGTGAGTGGTGGAGAGGGGTGGAGGGGGGTGAAAGGGACAGTTGGAGAGAGAAAGGTACGGAGGCAAGGCCTACTGGTTGGGTGGTTGGCCTCTCTCTCACACACGCCCACAAAGTCACACCCATACAGTAACACCCATGCAGTCACACCCATGCAGTCACACCCATGCAGTCACACCCATGCAGTCACACCCACACGGTTCCAGCTATACAAAGTGACACACACCCATGTACTCTCCCACACTCAGTCACAATCACACACAGCCACACCACACTGATGAGTCGGTTTTTGAGTCGACTCAAAAACCGACTCATCACACCCATGTACTCTCCCATACCCAGTCACAATCACACACAGTCACACCACACTCACCAGGGCAATCCAGTTGGCCACTATGAAGAACCTTCGTGGAACTATCAGGATCACCTCGCCCGCCTCTATTCTGCGCGCTGCCTTAAAGCCAATGTCCGCCCTGCCAGTGCCGTTAGGGGACGATAAATGGGGAGGAGGGGATGCGAAGTGGAAAGAAAGCAGGGCACGGCTGGTTCAAGAATCGAAGGGCCTGGTTACGGAAACAGGTAAGAGGCTGAAGTCTAAGCAGTTATGTCTTAATCGGAGAAACTTCACATGCTTCGAGTCCCTACGAGGTGACTTTTGAGTCGACTCAAAAGTCACATGCTTTGAGTCCCTACGGCACACCGTGTGGTAACCCTGCTTGAGTCCCTACCGCGTGTCGTTCGGTTTCCACACGCTTGCACCACCCTCGGGATTGTCTGAAGCGCCTCGAGCTTCAGGCACGGCTTCATGCACGCTGCGAGTGGAGAAGTCCACCTGGCGACACGCGGACGCACGGGAAGGTGACACGTGTCAACTTGTGAAACACCACGTGGCAGGTGGCGAAACGCGAGGCGTTGACGAAAACACGCAGTATTCCGGGACTCGGGACTTAACTGCACCAAAAGAGCTGTAGATTCGCCGCACTAACCTCGATAGTACCGTCAACGACAATGCCATATTCAGATCCTTCCGAATCTCTCGTCCAATCCAGTCCCATCCACGTCAGCATGTCTTCCACCATGGCGCGCTCCGATCCTGCCACGTCATGCTCGACGCTCCCAAGCTTTCTAGATCCTCCGTCGTCCGCGGATTCAACTGGATAAGATTCGGCTCCAATTTCAGACGTCTTTAAATCCGAATAGGCCTCAGATCCTTCGGGCGACGCGTCGGCACTAGCAGCGCAAGTCTGTGAGCCAGCGGCATTGTTATCCGCGCAATGTCCGGCGTGATCGCCGGCGGATTGACCGGCGGTGGTGTCTAGCGCATAGGATGGGGTCGCGAGCAGCAGAACGAAGAGAAACGACAGAATGAGGAGGAGTGCTCGGGGGACGCGGTGACGAGTTCGAATCGCGGGAAAAGTTAGGTGTAGGTGACCAGCGTCTTTGCGAACCGCTCCTTCGCGACCGAAACGACTTTCACCGCGACGAGCATTATGAGGATCATTACGACAGCCGCAAGTTTGGTGGACACGCAGTAGTACGGCCATGGCTGCTTGGCATTGCATGTGTCGTGTCGAACTGAATGCTCAGCAACCTCTCGTGTGGCGCAAAATAGCTTATGGAATAAGGATCTGCAGGGCATACACTCGCGGACAGATTCCCGCCAAATATATGAAGAATGCAAGAGATATACTCGCTACTAGTACTTTCTTTTCCTCCGGAGTAACTCTCTAATGTTTGCTCTGGCTTAGATTACGGTAGGAACAGAATACCTATCTAACTAGTTTGGAATCAACAATTAATAGAGCACTTAGCTCTGGGAGATCCAGACCAAAGAATAGGATTATTTATCTACATCAAACTGTCAAAATATCTTGGAGATCGAATCAAGCATATTGCATGTAAATTTGCATTTTACAGCAATGAAGTCAGTGTTGGGTTGAAAACCCCTAGGATCTTTGCAGGGGTGAACTCTGGGTAGAGTTGGTGTAGTAGCGGAAGCGTTAATTAAAGAGTTGTGAACCACCTTGCGCTAGTATGTGAGGGCAAAGTAAGTTGATTAAAACAAAGAGATACAAGCTTTTATAAGAGTACAAGGAATACGAAGAGATACAGTTAATAACCGTTTTACTATTGCTGTTGCGGTTCGATACAGTGACGACTCGGGCAACTGCTCAATACCGAGTCAGTTGTTTGTCCTTGCTGTCGCGCTGTACTTTGTCAAGTCAAAGGTCGCTGACCTTTGACTTTCGCGTAACCTCCAACAGTTACTTTCAACCTCCGAGGGTTGACTCGCCGGTGATTCGTTATACTTCGTTTCTTTTGTGTCTTATGTGAATTAAGAAAACAGGAATGAAAATGACTAAGTGAAAGTTGGGTACAAAAAGCAAACCCTAGAGAACTGTACCCCATATGTGCTACCCCACTATAGCCTACAGTAGCTATGTCATATAAATCTGACACACCCCCATAGGCAAAGTGGGGGAGAACAAGGGGTCACAAGACCAGACAAGCAAAGCAAAACAAGCTCAGGGTGGATCACAAAGTCACCACACATTCCGAGCACAAGTTCAAGGCCACAAGGCCAGTTCACATGCAGGATTGCATATATATATACATATAAGACTAGACAAGCAAGAGCAGGTGTATATATATATGCAACAGTACAAACAAGGTCAAGGGGTGAGCAAGTGAGGCAAGGTAGGCACAAGACCAAGCTCAGTACAGAAGCGCTGATGATCACAAGGCGCAAGTGCCTTGGTGAAGATATCAGCAGTGTTGGCCTCAGAGGCCACGTACGCAAGCCGCAGCTGACCACGCTGCTGTAGCTCACGAGCAAGGAAGTAGCGGAGAGCAATGTGCTTCGTTCTGTGCTCCAGTCTCTGCTCTCGACACAAGGCCAGCATGGCCTTGTTGTCTACGTACAGCACTGGAGGAGAACGAGGCGGCTCTCCGAGGTCAGTCAGCAGGTAGGTGAGCCAGCGAAGCTCCTGTGCAGCCATGGCCCCGGCGTAGATCTCAGCCTCACAACTGGAGCCGAGAACAGAAGACGAGCGGGTAGCCCGCCACGAAACAGAGCCGGAACCAAGGCTGAAGGTGTAACCCTGTGACGACCGCTGCGTAGCCTGGTCGTCAGCCCAAGAAGCGTCTGCGTGCCCAGTGAGGACCACTGGACTCTGCCCTCCAAGCACAAGCCCCATGCCCGACGTACTGCACAAGTAGCGCAACACCCTCTTCGCTGCAGCCATGTGCTCCGGTCTGTGTCTCCCAGGAGCAACATAGCGTGCAAGAATGCTAAGAGGGTACGCAAGGTCAGGTCGTGTGCAGGTCATCAGGTACATGAGGCAGCCAACAAGCTCTGGGTACGGGCCACTCGACTCTACGGACTCATCCGAAGGCAGAGCTGAGAGCGAGTGGCGAGTAGGCAGAGGAGTGGCCTGAGGCGAGGAGTACGTGAAGCCGAAGCGCTGAAGGACCTGCTGCACCATGTGTGACTGAGTCAGGGTAATGGTGCGGCGTGCTCTGTCCCGGGTCATCTGCAAGCCAAGGTAGCTGCGCAGTTCACCCAGGTCTGTGCACGTGTGTCTCTTCTGCAGCTCGGACTTCACGTGGGCGAGTCCAGCAGCGTCAGCTGTGGCGAAGACCAGGTCGTCGACGTACACGAGGATGTAGAACGGCGGCAAAGAAGTGTCGGTGCGCAGAAACAGCGACGGGTCGGCAGTAGAGGGAGCAAACCCAAGAGCCGCAAGTGTAGTCCTCAGTGTGTCGTGCCACTCACGCGGTGCCTGGCGGAGACCGTAGACTGGCCGCCGGAGGCTCCACTGGGTGCCAGGAGGAAAAGACCCAGTGAAGCCAGGTGGGCGACGCAGCCAGATCTCCTCGTGCAGGCTGCCCTGCAAGAAAGCAGTGCTGAAGTCAAGAGAGTGCAGCTCGTAGTCGCGGTGAGCAGCTATGTGCAGCAGTACCCGAAGAGTGGTCATCTTCGGGGTGGGAGAGAAGGTCTGAAAGTAGTCAACTCCCTGCCGCTGACTGAAGCCACGAGCCACGTAACGCGCCTTGAAGACAGGCGGAGAACCCGGCGGCCGCTTCACCCTGAAAATCCACATGCCACTGACGATGTTCGCCCCAGGCGGGGGAACCTCGTCAACGTAGGTGCCTGTGGACTTCCAGGAAGCCATCTCTGCGTCCATAGCTGCCTGCCACTGAGAGGAGTAGGGACCCTCTATCGCCTCCGCGTAAGAGCGCGGAGTCGGGATGTCAAGTGCATCCGGGTCTCCCTCAGGGGTAAGCAGTACGGACACGAGATGAGGTGAAGCAGCAGCCAAACACTGGAACTCCTCCTGCCTGTCCTCAAGGACGTCCGTGCCAAGGGCACACTCACCCCCGACGGACGGAGGACAGACAGACTCAGACTCAGCAACAAGACTAGCAGCGTAGTCTAGACGACAGCGAGCAGCAAAGTCGACGAGCTCAGTAACTAGGGCAGACGCAGCAGTGGACTCAAAGGAAGGGTCAGTGACGACAGTAGCAAGGAGACGCGTGACAGTAGGACTGGCAGCACGAAGAGAGTCCGACTCCGGGTCAGGAAGAGCAGGAAGAGAGGACTCAGGAGGAGAAGGCAAAGGGGCACGCAGAGGAGCAGTGGACGGACGCAGAGACATCCGGTGCGTGCCAGGGACAGGAGGAGGACGCTGACGCGAACCACGACCACTAGTGCGAGCAGCACGGACAGGCGACACAGGGCGAGACGCAGGCTCACGACGCTCAGCAAGACCTCCAG